TTGGACTCTTCTCTCCCTTCCACACCACTGTCCTTGTTAGAAAAAAATATGCAGATGGTGCCAATCTTTGGGGTGGGGTGGGGGGTGCGGGAAGGAAGTGTCTACTTTGCTGCTTTGTCAGGCATGTAACTATAGTATCAACTTGCTACCTGGAGCTCAGATCCGAGCTAAATAACAAAATCCCATCTCCTGAGAAGTTAGCAGCTTTTAAGGAGCTTCTGGATGACAGCAGGAAGAAAGAATTTATTTGTGCTTCTTCATCTGCATCTGTGAAAAGAAAGATAATTCTTCTTTCAGACCAATTTATGACTGTAGACTTCTCAATTTCTCTGACATTAGAGATTGTCAGGGAAAATTTGAGGGGTCCAACTCAATACCCTGCAATTAAAACAACTGATTGCTTTGATTAGTTTCACCCCAAACACAGTGATTTAAACACTTTAGTTCAAATCTCGTAACTGGGCACACAGCACATCTCTAAGACCATGCTCAGGTTTTATTGATTTCCAAGTTCATTCCTCATTATTGCTTCATAAACCCATCTCTGCTTTCCTGTAATATCCGGTACATGTTTACAGAATCCCAGGTTACATTTCTTGAACCGCCTGTGGCTAATTGTGACGTCTGTAGTGCACATTGATTCCAGGGTGGACTTGGTATTCGGAGGAGCTCCAGAACATGAAGAGCCAGAAGAGTGCTAGAAGAGTGTTGGAGACCCAAGAAGAGGCACTTCTTGGATCTTCAGATGGACCATAGCTGATGAGGGGGGAGGGGGATAATGTGGAAAAATGACAAAAAGATGTCATGATGTTGCAGTGCAAAGTGTGTCTCTTTGTGCATTGTAGTAATCACTGAAGTAATCAATGTGTAGTTTAATGGAGTCTAACCCTAACAAATTATATTTTGAAATGCAACGGCAAAATATGCACGAGGATTGGCTCTATCTGGAGGGAGATAGCAACTATCATAAGGTTATTTGTTTATTGGATAAGACTATAGCTACCTTGGATAATAACGTGCAAGCCACATGTAATGAAATGAAAAACATGCAGGCACAATTCACCAAGAGCTGAATGTTCTAAAGACAATAATTGCACCTTTGCATGAACCAAGACTGAAGGGAACTGAATCTACAATTCAAACTCATGTAAAGGGCATAGATCTGCATAATAAAGCTTTGATTAAAATACAAGGCAATTTGGCTTGTAGATCCTTGAAGATACACTGCCTATCTCTTGATTCTGAAAGTTCTTACTGATTTTTTGGAGAAATACCTAAAGAATTACTTTCACTACCTTCTGATTTTGATTAGGAAATTGACGATGCCTATAGATAAAATGCTAGAGCAAATATTCTAAGAAGGGCTTCTCCTATTATTGTAAAGTTTGCCAGAATTGCAGTTCGGAACAGAATTTTAAGAAAAGCACAAGAGATCTTTACGCTAACATTTAAAAGTCACTGTCTTCAAATCTTTCCAGATATTTCGCCTTTGGTGATCTCACTGAGAAAGCAGTTCACTCTTGCTTTAGGTCTGGCAAGAAAAAAGTTTTTTTTTTTCCTGTTTTTAGCAGTTTTTTTTGCATTTCAATTTCTGATCAGATTAAACAGTTCTTTGCTCCAGATAAAGCTGTGGAATTTCTTATTGCACAATAGATTATACTCAGCATTTTATTACTTGGCTTACACTGGCCTCTGCTGAACTGTGTTAACATTTTTTTAAATGCACATTTTCCAATACAAAAATTATTTTTATAATCTGGTTGAGGGGGATTATGGTTGGTTAACCTGTCAATCTTAGAAGTCATTGTGTTTACTTTTTTTAAAATTTGGTTTTCTTGCTTTAATTTTGGGGATTCTATTTGCAATTACTAGTTTAGTTATCAATTTAAATATATCCATTTGCATGTATATGTTATATATCCATATATGAATAGTCATACCATTTAGTTATTTAGAATGTTATAAATATACATTTATTTTAAACTTGGTCTTATCAATGTTAAACGTAGGAAATTGAATTGGCATATGAAAGCTTTGCAGAATACTGTTAAACATAGAACGTTATTTAAAGCGATAAGCAGATATAAGGTTGATGTCATATTTTTTTCAAGAAAGTCATATTTTACAACTTGAAAAATATTTTTTGTCTGAAATTAGTTGAATGGGGTCATTCTATATTACTTGCAATAATATTAAGTCAGATAGTGCCATGTTTTAAATTAATAAATATATTAATACAGAAGTGATTCGTGAACATTGAGACACTGCAGCTGTTTGATTTTTATTTGCTCATGGTTCCTTGTTATGGTCCTACAAAGAATAATCCTGAATTATGTCATTGGTGTTTCATCTTTCTTTTTTAAAGATGAAGTTTTTCAATTATGATTTCATAATTTGTGATGGTGCAATATCCAAATACTCTTTGGTATCATCCGCATGTTGCCTCTATGCCAGCAGATGACTTCTGCCAGTGGCTTCATGTAGATGTTAAACAGGAAAGGGGAGAGAACTGAGCCCTGGCCCACCCCATACTGGAGTGCCTATAAACCTGGCCTCTCTATTCCCACCACCACTGACTGGACTCATCTGCTCAGGAAGGAGCAACATCACCACAGAACATGCCTCCTACTCCCAGCCTTCACAGATGGCCAAGAAGGATGCTGCTGGTGACAGTATCAAAGGCTGTTGAGAAGTCAGTGAGTCAAGGATGGTGGAGATCCCACCATCCAATGTATCAAAGCTTTCCCCCAGTATTTGAAGATTCATTTATACTTCCAACCATAATTCTAAGGATTTAATAAGCAATTATCTTCCTCTTTCAAAGTGGCTAACACCTTTGCTTAATCATCTTGTGAAACTATAGACAGGATAGGTCTGGTCAGTATACTTATTGGTTACTGCAAAAACTGTCCAGACCTTGCATGATTTAATCTCCAACATTTCTCTTTTCAAAAGCCTTCCTAAACCTGATAGTGATTATCTCCCCTTGATACTTCTTTACAATTTCTCCAGCTCTTTACTACATAGAGTAGACCATACATGCTCAGCTGCAATCGTAGGCCCCACAGCTGCAACTGATAAAGCTGCCCTACTAAATGAAGCCATCAGGTGAACTGTGTTGTTGCTAAGTGGTTTGCCTCTTCAGATAATATTCAGTTCAGTCTAGTCTTCCAGGAGTGATACTTTCAGCCATAATATGAAATACATAATATAATCCATAAACCATAGATACAGGAACCTTATACCTTACTTATTAACAAACTAGCAGCCTTTCTAACCAGGATCAGCAATAGTAATCAGAATTCTTTAAACAATCCTGCTAAGACCTGGTTTGATCAAGACTGTTTTATCTAGTGTGAAAGTATTTCATATTTGAACCAGAAAGTAGCCCTTCTGCCCTGTAAATATGTTTAAAGAACTGTTACAGGAATTTGCGGAGAATGCTGTATATCCCATGTTACTCTCTTATCAGTAGCCCATTGATCCCATACTTGTTTTCCTTTTCTGTATGGCAGTAATAAATGAGAGAAAAGCTATTTAAATTCCTGATGGATAACCCTGAGAAGGGAAGGTAAAATGGAATGCTATGTCTAAAACTGGAAAAGAACAATTTATGTATTATAAAGGGAGGAAGCAAGAAAATGAAGCAGTGTCTGTAGTTTTGCTTAATTTTGATACCTGACAGTATACATGTTTACTCTCTTATAGTAATGTTCAAAATGTAGGACACCTAGAGAGAAGCAAGGAATACCTTCTCATTCTTCAGCTGAAAATAAACTGTGATTTTACTTTATAAATTGGACTCAAGAGTTTTTCTTCTACAAAGCCGGAGACAGTGGTTTCTAAGATGAACATGAATAGTTTTCTATGAGCTTCTTTCTTTAAAATTATTAAGGGCATTTCCACCCAGGCTTTTTGTGCCAATTTAGAATCAGCTGTGGACCAGTCCAATATTATGATGTCATCTGAAGCAGGAGTTGAGTTGATTGATTCAATATTTATCATTTAGATTTCTAAGTGAAGCTGCAGTGTATCCATAACTGTAGCAAGACCTTTTTTTGTTTGTTTGTTTCAAATATTGCAGGTCCGTTCTACCACTGATGGGGACTCATGCCTCACTTTGCCCCCTGGTTTCTGGGCTCAAGCCAGCCACTCATTTTCTCTGTTCCACACTGCAACAGCTGATCTATTCATCCAACAGGCTTTCCAGATACATTTTTTGCCTGATCACTTGATTTTTGACCAAGGCCTACTCTTCATGGCATGTTTTTGGAAAGCCTCTATTTCAGTTGTTAGCTATAAAGTTACCCCTGTCCTCTGCCCATCATTCACATTTGGAGGAAGAAATAGAACAGTAACTTTGTTAGTATGTAAACTACCAGGAAAACAGTTGGCCTGACTGTAATTGAATCACATGGGAAGCAAAGCAGGGTTGGGCCTGGATAGGACTTGGATGGGAGAACTCCAGGGAATCCAAGAGCTGTAGGCTAGACTGGGGAATCAAACAACTTCTAGAGAAACATAATGGGTTGGTGAGAATGGTAGTCCAAAGCAGCCAAAGAGACCCAGGTGGGGAATGTTACTTGGTGAAGGTATATTTTACTAGGACTTTACTCGCTGGAAAGGATCCTTTTTTGTCTTTTGAAGGAACAAGGTAACTTTTAAAAAAGGTGTAGCTTTAGGCTTCTCTTTTTCTTTGGGAGTTGAATATGGAATCTATCTTCTTCCATGAGAAAACAAACAAACAACTGCAAGCAAGTACAATGAGGGCAAGATATTTATTTCTACAGAAAACATAACCAAAGGCAAACGTAAACAAGCTTAGTTGGTTATACACAAACGGCCAGTAGGATAAAGAAGTTTTAGGATAGAGTAAAAATAATGAATTTCAAGACAGGACAATTTAAAAATAATGAACTTCAAAGCAGGACACAAAAATCAGTTAAAAAGAAGGAAGGAAATATTTATAATACTAAACAAGTGTAATATTTTAATGGATTTTATGGCGCTGCATGACGTGGCACAGCGCAGATTTTATAAGGATGTGGATTCAGTGTCATAGATGCTATAGGTTTGTCATCGAGTTTTTTCACTCCTGGCAGCTGGAAGCGGAAGGCCCTCAGCAGGCTGGTTAGGAAGATGAAGATCTCCGCTCTTGCCAACTTTTCTCTCAAACAGGCACGCTGCCCTGTGGGAGAGACAGAAAATGGAAAATAATCTGTACTGAAGTTCCAGTTCTCCACCAAGATGAGTCTGTAGGAAGTAAATAAACAAGTGGTGGACACTTGTTAGAGATTTTCTAATTCATCCCTAATGCGTTGGTAAATTGGGAAAAGCATTTCAAAGCAGCACATGCTCATGGCATTTCAATATCAAAATACATCTGTAAATGGCCAGAACAGAACAATCTCTGTCTTATATAAATCTGGAAATAGAAATGATGGGAGGCAGAAATGTTTGCTGTCTGGAAATGCTCAAGGGTTGGTTAAAGACCTAACAAATGCAGCACGCATCATGCCAACCTTTGACTTTGTGTGTGTATGGATTAGCATGTGGTACAGTCCCAACCCAACTGGTTGGTTTATGGTTCAGTGTATAATTCAGTGTATAACTTATGAACCTCTCAGAATTCTATGATCCAAGCTGTTTGTTTCCAGGAGCCTCTGTGGTCTTAGCTAGTCATATTGTTAAGCAAAGCAACTGAGAGAAGGAGTCATTAGCAGAAATCTCCACATGCACATGGATTTCCTTCAAGTTGACCAGCTGCCAGTTCACTCAATTTATGCTTTATCTCAGACAGCCAAAGTTTTCGGGGCAGCCCTGGATAAACCTCTTATACTGGATTACTAACAAGAAGCCTTGAATTCTTCAAACTACCTCACAATAAATACCCAAAAGAGAAAAAGAGAAGATTACCTAACTTGGCAGTAGTATTTGTGAGAAGGATCTGGGTGCTCTGGCAGAACACAGATTAAGTATGAGCCAGCAATGTGCTGCAGCTACCAAAAGAGCCAATACAAACTTGGGCTGAATCAAGAGAGGTATAATGTCAAGATCATGGGAAGTAATACTTCCACTGTACACTGCACTGGTCAGACTACACCTAGAGTATTATGTCCAGTTTTGGCTGCCACAATACAAGAAGGATGCTGAGGAACTGGAAAGAGTGCAGAGAAAAGAAACAAAGATAATAAGAAACTTGGAGGTTAATCCTATGAAGAACACATAAAGGAACTGGATATATTTAGCCTAAAGAAGAAAAGGCTAAGGGAAAGACATGGTAGCAAACATCTAATATTTGAAGGGCTGTCCGGGATAGAGGATGTGGATGCTTCAGAGTTCTTCAGGGTTGGACAGGAACCAGTAGTTGGAAGTTTTACATAGAGAAAGTCAAAGTCAAAATAAGGAAGAATTTCCTGACTGTGACAGCTGTTTAACAGGTGAACAGACTGCTTCCTGGAGTCATGGATACTCCATCACTGCAGTTTTCAAGAAAAGATTGGATAGTCATTGGGGTTGGATGGTCTCAGGATTCCTGTTCTGGACAGGGGGTTGGACTGGAAGACCTCCAAGTTCTTTTCCAATCATTTGTTTCTATGACTGCATGATTCTATAAAATTTAGAGAGACAGAAAGGGAAAGGAAAATGCTAAGCTACTGATTCTTCTGCGGTTCCACTGAATTGTTACATAAAAGAATCCTCATTCAGTTCTGCTACTGAACTGAAAGGAGGGCAATACCAGCCTACCAGAGGTGGGATAAGGGGAGATCTGGTCATCAGGACAACCAGATGGAGGAATGTCAGAATCTGACATAGTCCACCATCACCATCACCACATCTGATGGCTTTGGACCCCTCTGCCATTAGCCACCTAATGGTTGCTTTCTTTGCTATGTTGGCATCTTGCTTTTCTTGAGAGATGATGGATCCCTGTGAGTCAGCAGTACAAACTGCCTCGTGTTGTCTGAGGTGGGAAGAACACCCCCATGTTGCCTAAATAAGTGGGTAAACTTCCCTAAGGTCAATAGATATCTAGTGTCTTCCCCTTGATGATATCCATATCTTGCAGTGGTTGCAGACCCAATAATTTGGGTCTTGAGTTACAAACTTGAAATTTTCATATCTCATGCTGTTCTTGGGCTCACAGAATAACTGCCTTATGGAAAGGTGTCAATTTGGTTAGCACTTCCATCATTTGTCATAAATTCAGATTCTGGAAGGGGCACCTGCTCCTCCTCCTGACCTTCTCATCCTCAGCCCTTGGCCTAAGGTTCTCTTTATGGCATTGAACTCACAAACAAACCTAAGGGGAAGAATGAATCATGCCTCAAAGTAAGCTGGTTTTATTTGTAGGGAGAAGGCTTTTTCCAGTTTTCTCTATCTATCCCTTTTTCTATCTAACAAAACCACTGCCCACCACAATAAACTGAATTAAACTGAAATTGATAAAAAAAAACCCTAATAAACTAAAATAAATGGAATATTAAGATTGTGGATTGCATCAGAGGCACTCAGCCAGTCAGGTAATTTACCAGCCCACCACTCATAAGCCACAGAAGCATCAGTGCAATCCAGTCTTCTGGGAGAATCTAGCAGTTTCTCCTGTTGTACTGGCCCAGACAAATGGATTCAAAAGATATTACCATTTAACATTCCAAATCACAAAACAAGGCAACATTGGTCAAATTAGAGGAAATAAAATGGAATGACACATCTAGAAGTCTTTTTCAGACCAGAGAACCACACTTTTTGGAATTCATTTGGAACAGGCCAACTTTGCTCTAGATTCTGGTCACATTGATTTCACCTGGTATGTATATTATCCAGATAATGTTACTCTTTGCAGTAAGCTATTCACTTATCCATGATGTAAAGCTAATAGAAACTTCAATCACATCTCAAACTAGGAGAAAGAAGGATTCAGGTGAGACAATGGTTTCAGGTCCAGGCAGCCAATGAAATGGTTTTAGATCATCTGAAAAACAGATCAATAGCCTTGAAACCACCCAGGAAAAAACCCCCTATAAATTACAAACTGAATAGTTGGATTTACCTGCTCCAAATGGCAGAAATGCTTCTCGAGCCTGAAAATTTCCATCTGTGTCTAAAAAGTGATTAGGGTTGAATTCTTCAGGTGTCTCCCATTCTTCAGGATCTAGAAGAACAGAGCGTAGATCTGGCAGAATAATGGTCCCCTTCAAGAATGGAAAAGAAAGGAAAAACTAACCTGAGCTGTTTCATAGCATGCATAAACCAAAAAAGTTGAAAATATTTGTGAAGAAAACATTTGTTGACAATTGACCATCCTGTCTGTCTGTCTGTCTATCTTTTTCCAAACTCCCTTTGAACGCAACAACTGATCTACAGAATAGGTGTCTTTCTTTATCCATTAAAAGAAAGGGCTAGTTTCAAATTTCTTTGTTACTCTTCCCTACCAGGGTGTGATGAATGTATGATGGATCTGTCAATCAAACCATGACAATGCAGAGCATCTCCTCCCAAGCAATATTCCAGCAGGAGGAGGAACTGGAGCAGGGGGATTATGGAGGTGTAGATGGAAGGACAGAGAGACCATGTGGTATAGTGATTAAAAGTGCTAGACTAATAGTGGGGAAATTTGGGTTCTAGTCCTCCTTTAGGCATGAAAACCAGCTGGGTGACTTTGTTGGGAAGCCCAAAACATCCTGCAAGAGAGTACTGGCAAACCACTTCTGAAGATGTTGCAAAGAAAACTTAATGGACCTGTCCTTGTAGTCACCAGGTGCCAAGATTGACCTGATGGAAGGGCAGGATTGAGGGAAGCACAGAGTTCAAGACTGGGACCCACCCTGTCATCAGAGGGACAGGGCTAGGAATATGTCTAACACCCAGATAGACTGCTATTGGTGGGAAAAACAAATTTTGTACGAGTTAACTTTTTTTTACAAAGATAAATATTTCAAATATTTATTTAATAAGGCCCTTTTTTGTCCCTCTGTTTCTACATGAATACAATATCTGCAGCCAGCACTCTACCTTCCCCATGTTCCACCCAGTCATGTTAACGCAGCGATTTAAAGAACCTCTAAACCAGAAAAGGGAGTTGTTAGTGTGTAGGTGACATCATGTAAGATTGACAGGGAGTTAGTGGTGTGGACCCCTTCTTTCCCTTTTACACATATAACATATTGCTCTGTAGAAAGGGTTATTTAGCCAGCTGAGGATATGTATGTGTAGTTTACTAAGCTTTGCATTGCAAATTCCTCCACATGCACATTTAGTAAAACTTAGTTGGCAAGCTTTGAGATGGCATAGTTCTATTCTAAATCACTGTCACCTATGAACCTTTCATCTATACTGCTATTTGGAACTATTTTTGTTACCTGCTTATAACAATCAAGATAAGGAGGACAACAAGAGCCCCCTAATCTAACACCTGCTAAAGAGGGGGAGCAGTGGCTGTACACAAGAAACAACCCCCCCCCCAGTAATATTCTTAGCAAACAGTCACTTTTTGGGGTTCCCAAATTACTGACCAGAGATGTCATCAGACCATCGGCAGGTGTTGTCTTCTAAGGACCCCTCTTTTTTAAAACAATATCCCCGGCATTTGCTCAACTGCAGTTGTGACCAACTCACTGACAAGATGTGCTACCAAGCCATTTCCAGGTGTTATTGTTTAAACTCCCTGCCTCTGAAGAAAAGTATTAAAAGGCAGCAAAAGCCCACAAAACCTGGAACTCTGGCAAAGACCCAAAGGGTGCTTTGCAACTGCCAGAGCCGGGAGGTCCATCCTCTGCCATTCTTGTGGTTATTGGCAAGCTGAAGGGATGTGGTTCTCTTTCTCTGTGACTCTCTCAATATTTATTCATTCAAATCCTTTTTGGCCTTTCATCCTTGTTTGAGCCCATTGCCTCTGAAACCTAGAGAACCTATTGGCTCCCAGTTGGCCATCAGGTAGCAACACATCGTGGCAGCAGAACAAGGAGATGATAAAGAAAAAGACCCCACAACCATTGAGGGGACATGACAAAGGAGACTAGCCAAGGAGGAAATAGACCACTGAGGACTGCAGCTGTCTTCAGTTCAGCTCTTAATCTCTTGAGCTCTTTCTAGAATAAATGCAAAATGTTTAGGGTTCTACTTTTGAAATTGTTCAGATTTGTGACTTTAAACCCATTCAAAGAAAACTGTATTTGTGTTATTCTTGCCCATATGGTTTTGCACTATTTCACTGCAGCTCTTGAGCAGACACATCTCTGCAAGTGCCATGTTGTGCATTTCCACTCATGATACAATTCTGAGGTGCAGCCTGAACAACTTTTTCTACCTTTGGAATGTGGAAATCCTCCATCTTCACATCCATTATACTTTGCCTAGGAATTGGTATTAATACAACATATTTTGCTCGCTGTAGCTCATGAATCACAGCATGAGTATAGGGCAGCTTCTTCTGATTTTGATAGAAGATTGATCTTGAGGAACCAAAGACATCTTCAATCTCCTTGTGGACTTTTTCTGGATGGAGGGAAAGGCAATCCATTTTGAATGGCATATTTTATGATTGACTAATCTCCAACAGGTTTTTTTTTTTCAAATTATATCCTATGAGCTTACTTATGAATAAATATTTCAGGAGGTTGAGCAGGCTTAGAAGAACTACTACAATAATGCCCCCTCCTATCATTTTCACAATAAAGTGTGATCTTGTATCTATATTACCTGAATGAGTGAAAACTGAATCTTATTTAGTATGATTGAAATAAGTGCTGAAAATTAAGTTAATCTCCTTTTCTAAATACATTTTAAAAGGCCTTAGCATTCATGCAGTTCTATTCTGTCTCACCTTGGATGTTAGGATGATTTGCCAGGAGGAGCAATGCCCACATCAGGGTATTAAAGGTGGTGTCTGATCCAGCAATAAAGAACTCAAGGAGACAGCAAGCCAGGTTCTCTTCATTATAGACAGAGTTGGGGTCATCCCTGCTCTATGTTTAAAATGAGAAATTCAATTTACAATAAATTCTAGACTGCCTTCAATGTTTTTAATGTTATCAGCCGCAAATCACATTCATAACGGTGCATGTTCCCTGCAACATCCTATGCATGTAGTGATTACATATGACATTTTTTTAAAAAAAATAAATGATTAATTGATTTACTGTAGGAGAAAATGTGAGGGGTCCGGTTCCTGGAATAAACAGCATCACAAACGCAGCTATAAAGCAATTAGACCCTGGAAACTGTTGGCTGCATCAAATGTAACACAAGGCTAACAAGGTAATTGAAAGTATTAGCTGCAGGATTGTAAGCCTGGCCACAAACTATTAACAAATATTACAGAATATTGCAATGCGTTCTACATGGGGCTACCCTTGAAAAGTATCCGGAAGTTTCAGTGGGTTCAAAACATAGGCGCGCAGGCAATTTTAGGTGCCCCAAAGATGGCACATATTACACCTTTGCTGCATGAGCTGCATTGGGTCCCAGTTTGCTTTCCGGTCCAATTCAAGGTGTTGGTTATCACCTTTAAAGCCCTACATGGCATGACACTGGGTTACCTGAGGGACTGTCTCACCCCCATTATATTGACCCATCCCACCTAGTCAGTCAGGGAGGGTATGCTGCGGACCCCGTCGATGAAAGAATGTCAACTGGCAGGGTCCAGAAAGAGAGCCTTCTCTGCCTATGGAATACTCTCCCCCAAGAGGTGAGGCAGGCCCCAACTGTCTTGTCCTTCCGGAAAGCAGTCAAGACC